TGTGTCCAGCTAAGATTTTTGTGTGTGTGAAAACTTGCTAATATATTATTCCACTGGCTGTGCCCCAAGTTTATGTTCTCCAGTTTCCTCTACAAAGTGCATTAAGCAATCCACTTTATAGAGGAAATAGGCTGGAGTAATCTGTACAGAGTACAGAAAGCAATTTTAGGGACTTAATCTATAGAATGGTTTTAATGAAGTCTTCAAGTATTCTCATACCAGAAAAAGCATTTCATCTTATATCAAGGGCATATTTTTTTCAGGCAATTTTGTTCTTTGAGCAATATGCTAGGTATCTCTCTTCCCCAAACAGTGATTTGATTTGATTTAATATGAATTGAAAATGCAATTAAAAGCAATAGATCACTGCCTACACATTTGGGTTTCAGGGACCCACTGAATATCTGAAATGTGTTGATATAACATCATGGGACATGGAGGGAACAAATTATATTCTCATTCAAAACACAGGATGACCAGTTCACATACACATTTGATGTTCTAATTGACAAATGACCAAATGTGGGAGAAGCTTTTGCCTGAACTAATGATTGCCAAGACATTCTTCCAAATGTTAATTCATTTTAGATTATTTCATATCAATGACATTTCAGAGCTCTGAAGCTTTTAGAGCTTATAAACATGTTTTAATTAAACAAGAACATGAAGATATGAAAAGTAACAGTAAAATCAAGACTTGTATAGCTTAAAATTAAATATATCTAAGATATTACTACCACTTTATTAGGTTTGTTTGAGTTTCCGCATGGGGAAAAAAAAGTGTGTTTATTGGCTTTCAAGTCTCAAATGCATGAACAGGTCAGTTGTCACGGAATGTCTCATAACAGCATAAGAGCAGCCAGCAGAAAGTTAGAGAGAACACACACACACACAAGAAACTTTCCTACAACAGGTGTCTCATAACAATCTGAATTACTACTGTAATGAGGCCTTACAAAAATAAAACCTGCCTACAGGGGGATCTTAATGCAGTCTTTTAGGGGAAAAAATAGTAAAATGTGGTTGTAAAGGCTCAATTGATTGCTTTTTCTTCCTGGCATATCTGTGCTAATTTTGTATATGGATTTGTACATCAGTGTTCTTCATCCTTAACAATTTTAAGTTATGCGGACTTCAACTTTCTGAATTTTGAGAGTTGAAGTCCCCCAATGAGCTAGTTATGCTTTCTAGACTCAATAGACAACTCACTCTGATCTTCCATGATTCAACCAAACTCTTTCTTAAACCTCTAAGTCTCAATCCTCATCCACTAACAGCAAAATTTAAGAATAAAGTGCTTCTCATTCTTATCAGGAATTTGATTGAACTGATGGGAAACTTTGCTACTGTTAGCACAATGGTTTTCTTTAATGGGCACTGAAAAAAACAACCACCACCCAGCTTTCTGCAGCTCCAAATGGGTTTAGTCTTTTGTTACTAATAGTTATACTAGAATTTGATCTATAACAGATTTTGGTTCGGTGGTTAAAGTACAAGAATGGAAATCAGGAAACTATGAGCTCTAATCCTGCCTTAGGCATGTTAGATGACTTTGGGCCGGTCACTCTCAGCCCAACTCACCTCACAAAATAGATAGAATACGTTATTGGCCAAGTGTGTTTAGACACACAAAGAATTTGTCTCTGATGCATAAGCTCTCAGTGTGCATGCAAAACAACAAAGTAGTAATAATCATAATAAAGGATAATAATAATGCGTTAATGAGTTAAATAGTGGAACAGATGAGAAGGATAAAAGTAATATGATGATACTACGTGAGTAATAGACATAAGACAGAACTGTGGGAATTTAATGTTCAGCAGAGGAAAAACCTGTCTCTGTGTCTATAGGAGGCGGAAGGAGTATTATGTATATTTGCTGCCTTGGATCATTTATAAAAACAATAAAGGTGGGATTAAAAAAAAATCTAAAATAAAAAATAAACATTCTTCTCCAAAAGAAGAGTGCAGTGCATTGCAGTGCTTTTAATTTTAGCGTGATAGATACCATGTTTCTCAAAGCACTACATTGTGGAGCCTTCTTTTAAACAGTCCTCCTTAAAATTATTTTATGCAGTTTAATTTGCATATGTCAGTATGTAATACTAAGCACTGAGTGAGCCTTTCAAATATTCTATTTGGTTTTTTTAATCCTGTTTTCAAGATCCTTGTTTTCTTTGTTAGGAAATATTTGATGTACAGACACCACCAATTAAGAATTGTTTTATGATAAATTTCAATCCATTTCCTCCTACAGTTTTCTTCCCCACCACAGTCATTAAGCTTTGGATGCTGAAAATAAAATAATGGTTGTAATAAAAACAGAACAGGGTGGCCAAATTAGCAACTCAAAGCAGAAAAGAATAGTTAGTGATTCATCTCTAGATTCAATAAAATCACCAAACCAATGAATGTACACTGGATAACAGGATCTAAAATATACATTCTGACAATAATAAAGCAACACCTTCTGTGTTATGTATTTAGAAATAAGTAGAAACAAATACTGGGTTGATATTATGTTCAAACAGAGGAAGATTCTTAAAGAACAAAGGCTGAAGATTCTTAAAGAACAAAGGAGTGTTTTAATTTTTTTATCTACCTGAACACTAATCCAAGAATCCTGAGTTATAGCAAATGGCTTGAAACACAAGCAATGTGATTAAACACAAGCAAACAGGATCAAAAGTGCTATGATAGAATTATGATTCAGGTCAGAGTCTTATTTGTCTTTTTCATGTCATACCATTAGTCACTTTTGAAGAAGGAATCACAACAGATATTCAGTGTCATTTCTAAATATTATGTAACCAAATACATAGGATATGATTAATAATTTATAGTAACATGAAAATGATTTCCAGCATTTAATGATTTCTCGCTTCTATCACCACTTAGAGGGTTCTGGTTGAGGCTTTGGAGCCCCAAGCTGTGGAAAAACCATTCATTTAATTTGGCCGTGACAAGGACCTCTGCTCGTGTGTGTAGGCTCAATAGTAGCTTTGTTCTGGCAGTACAAATTTAGAGTACAGTATGCACCACATTAGCATTGCAAGAAAATCCTGCCCCTCATTAGCGTCACTGAAAGGGTATGGGTAGAATAAAAGTTTGCTTTCATTTTATATACTAGTGGTTTGCCCTGTCCATGTAAGTGTAAGTGGTCTTGGTAGTTCCTTGATTGGGATATTGTTTACTGTTAGCCTGTTTGTCTGAGTTGACAGTTCCTTGATTAGGGTATTGTCTGCTTCTTAATTGTTGGTTTTATGTTAATCTTGGTGTTAATTTCTGCTCATCTGGGTATTGATTGCTGATGAGGAAGTATTTTTGTCATTTTGTTTCCTTTTGACTGTCTCTTTTGAATGGAATGTAGATGTTGTTTATCTCTATGTGCCTGTTGATGCCCAATTTGTATGAGTGCCAGGCTTCTAGGAATTCTTTAGCATTTTTGGACTTGGTATAGGAGGCTCGCTGTTTCCCAGTTGAAACTAAGTCTATCCATGTGTTGTGAAATTAAGGAGTTTTCATCATGTCTTCTGACTGCTAGTTAGTGGTCATGGATACACTCTGCTAACCGTTTGCCTGTTTGTCCTATATAGTGGCTTTTGCAGTCCTTACACTGTATGCTGTAAATGACCCTTGTGTTTTCTTCCAGGGCTGCTGGATCTTGTGGTTTACTTAGGATGTTCTAATTGGTTTGCCTGCTACCGTGATGCCACATGGTTGTAATAATCTGTTGTAGTTTGAGATATTTTTGATGTATGGCAGTGTTATCCTTTTCACAACTTGTATTGGTTGTACTATATTGAGCTGAATGGTCAGGCATTTCTTGATGACGTTGAGGGGATATCTATTTTGCTAGAAAATGTTGGATATATGATCTGCTTCTTTTTCTTCTTCCCCAGTGAATTTTATTTCTTTGAAGATGTTGATGATTTTGTGTATGTTAGTTCTTTTTTATTATGACAAAGAGGTTGTCTACACACTGGATCCTACTTTAGGTTGTATGCATTACACTATTTATTATTTGTCCTGAAAGCGATAATTCCATGGGTATTCCTTTGATTTGTTGATATGTTTGTCAGTTGAACTTTAAGTATATGGTTAGGCAAAGTTTGATAAAATCCATGGTTCTACCCTTTTCCCTGAAAATAAGACATCCCCTGATAATAAGCCCAATCAGGCTTGTGAGCGTATGTGCTAAAATAAGTGCCCCCCCAAATAAGCCCTCCCTGAAAATATTTAAACACATGCGCCATTTCCTCTGGTTAGGGTTAGAGCTGGAAATCAGGTAAAACGACAAGAGGAGCCCCGTCTTGCTCCATGCACCCCAAAATAATAAAACCTCCCTGAAAATAAGATCAAGCACTTATTTCAGGGTTCAAAAAAAAATATAAGACAGGGTCTTATTTTCAGGAAAACATGGTAGGTATTTCAATCTTAGTGTATTTGGTTAAGTTCAGTGTTCTGTGCTATCATGGATTCTTGGCTAATTCTGGGTCTATGGATGTAAAAAGTGCCATGATATCAAATGAGATCATGATTTCATCTTCATCTATTGTCACGTCTTTGATTCTTTGAAGGCACTGTAGTGGGAAACTGGAGCATTTGCTCCCTTCTTTGAGGTGCCCAAGTTTTTTTGTCAATTCTTTAGTGATGTCTCTTGAATGGCATTGCCTTTCTGTAGGCATGTGTTGTATTTTGCACAACAGTCTATAGATAGAAAACCAGTTGCCTTCAGCCATTAGCTTCTAGGTGGGCCATGATCCTGCCTTCTTAGATTTTGGCTTGGATCAAATCATTATGATACCTTTCCTGCAGGCGCTGATGCTTAATTCACAGGCTATCTAGTTCAAAGTATTGAAAAGTAAAACTAAAAATAGAACTTGATATAGCAACAGTTCGTGCTGAGAACAACTATAGCATAGACTTAATGTTGAAATTTCTTATACTAAGTACCGCAAACATTGTTAATATCTCTTTCTCAAAAGCATTCAAACTCACGTTTCATTGTGGAAAAAGAACTGTTCGCAGATGCCAGAGCCATCGTAAACAGCAACAACCAAAGATCCATTCCTCTGGATTCTGCAATTGCAGAAAAAGATAATAGCATAAATCTCATTATATAAGACGGAAACACCATTTCATTTCTCTGCTGGTTTAGTGATGAACTGGATGGAATTAAGCCAAGGATCTATGAAGGGACTAGATTACAATAAATATTGTGACCTTATAAAGTTTTATCATATATTGAATCTGTAAGCGACAATAAATCATGAGGCTGCTGACCAGTAAATAAAAGACATTCCAGGACATGTATTCATTTTCTACCAGTATCAATATCAATATCAATAGCATTTAGACTTATATACCGCTTCACAGTGCTTTTACAGCCCTCTCTTGAGGTTTACAGACTCAGCATATTACCCCCAACAATCTGGGTCCTTATTTTACCCACCTCGGAAGGATGGAAGGCTGAGTCAACCATGAGCTGGTGAGATTTGAACTGCCAACTGCAGCTAGCAGTCAGCTGAAGTAGCCTGCAGTACTGCACTCTAATCACTGCATCACCTCAGCTCTTTACTATTATCTATACAATTATCATCAAAGAAACTTGGGGGTTCCTGATGAGTGTCTTCAAATGTTTTGTTATCAAGTCCCCTTAGGCATGAAAGCCGGCTGGCTGACTCTGAGCCAATCACCACGAGGCGGTGAGTACAGGAGAAATATACTATTATACCAGTGCCATGCAGAAACAAAATGTCCTTTTTCTATCAATTCTCATAGGCAAGAGATTTTAAGTTACCGTTTTGTTAAACAGAAAAATTTGGATTGCATTCTTCTGCTGTTATTATATACTTATTGAATGAAAAGACAAAGGACTATTCTGTCTTCCACTGGATAATCATATCTTGGGGGGGGGGGTATGTGTGTTACACATACTTTCAAGAAATCCCAAGGGAAGACCCTCTGAAGAATTTTCTCCCACTGGATTTTTTTCAAAAGGGGAAGAATAGGAAGCCAGGAAGGTTTTAGTGTAACAGAAGAATGAGAAAGATGATTCAAGTGTTACAAGTCACAAGCATAGTATTTTAACCTTGTATTGGAGAAAGAGATGTATGCTTTCATACCTTTTGGTATGTTCAGAAAGGGATGGACAGATACCCTAGCTCTAGAGCTTTAGATTCAGTAGGAAGGAACAAAAAAATTAAGAAGAAAAGAAGCAGAAACAGCAAAGCCACCTTCTATCTTGCAAGCCTAGCCTGAATGAGAACTTCAACCCATATAGTAGCTGAGCTGCAAGCATAACCCTATCTATGTAGTATATGGACTCCCTTTGGTCAACAGCACAAACTTCCAATATACAACCACCAAACAGCTGAAAATCTAGAATTAGCTATCTCAACAGATCTGGAGGGTTCCAGGTTCTGGAAACTTGAATTGATCTTTTCCAAATAGGAATATAACAATTATGATCTAGGAAAGCTGCCAGATTCCTGCAAAATAGGGGCTTAAATCTTTCCTTCTGAATTTAATATGGATTGGGTGTGTCAACTTGACTATAAGCAAGGGATTCCCTTGGCACAAGGCTTCAAAAAGGCTTCAAAAAGGCCAGCAACTACTAGACTGGCCAAGAAAATCATGCCTCAAGATATTATTAATTATGGATATTTTTTTTGGTTTCCATGTTTAATATTATACAAGACTGTCAAGAGAAGCTTGATAATTATTCTATTTGTTATGATTTCCTAGTACAGCCTATTGTTCTGTCCTGCCAATGCATTCTTTTCAAACTACCTCATGGTAAGCCAGACAATACCAAGAAGAGAAAAAAACAAAGTGTGATATTTCTTTCTACGCAAAAGGGATCACAGGGAGATTTCCACACCACAGGGCTGTCTTTGAAAGACTCCCCCCAGAGATACGTGCCAGTTGGAAAAGAATTAAAACTCTCCACAAGTCTCCGCTGATGCAAATGGACTTGCAGGTTTCCCCCTCCAAGTTGGGATAAAAACCAACTTGCTGAACCAATGGCAAGTGTTAGCAACAAAAGAGCTATCTTCATTAGCCCATATTATGCTGTATTTATACAGAGTTTTTTCTATTTAGGAACCTCATACGTGTAGATAACCCTTGGCTTTCCTTTAAATATTATTATAATTTCATTTTGCACAATTTTAAAGTAAGTATCAGAGCTTGAAAATTGAATAAAGTAACAGCCAAACCATGGTTTCTCTGTCTCTTCTTTCTAAACATGCCCCAGATTGCCATTTTGTCTTCCTTTGAAAAAGTAAATGTTGTTTTGCAAGTCTATGTTCCCATATCAAATTTCTGTGTGATTGTATCTTGGGAGCAAAAAATATCACCCCAGAAAAAAGGCAAGAAAACAGAATCCTGTGGAATATCTTCAATGGTGTAAGGATGGAAGCAGCAGATGAACGACTAAAGAGGAACTAATCAAATATGACAACATCAAGCTGGGAGAAATAACCAACACCATAGAAGATAGGCTCAAGAACTTTCTGGATCTTGACAGATTAGAACACTTGGCTCTATCCAACAAAATGCAATTCACTGGTGAGAAACGTAAGATATTACACTTAGGCAAGAAAAGCCAAATGTACAGGTATAGAGCAGGTGGTACCTAGCTCAACAGCAGTGACTGTAAGAGGGATCTAGTGGACAACCCCTTAAGTATCAGCCAACAGTGTGCTGCAGCTATGAAAAAAGCCAATGCAGTCCTAGCTGCATCAACAGAGAAATAGTATCAAGGACATGTAAAGTACTAGTACAGCACTGGTAAGACTGCACTTGGAATACCGCATCCAGTTTTTATCACCATGTACAAAAAGGGAAGAGGAGAGCAACAAAGGATGGTAGGTAGTCTGGAGAGAACTGGGTATGTCTAACAAAGAGAACTGGGTTTCTTTAACAAAGAGAAGGACAAGGGATGACATGATAGTAATCTTCCATCTTTGAGGGATTGTCGCAAAGGAAAGGGGGTTGACCCGTTCTCCAAAGCACCAAAGAGCAGGACAAGAAGTAATGGATGGAACCTTAACAAAGAGAGATCCAACCTAGAATTAAGGAGAAATTTCCAGTCAGTGAGAACTATTAATCTATTTATCAGCGGAATGATTAATAGTTGTGGGTTGTGGTTGCTCCAACAATGGAAGTTTTAAGAAGAGACTGCACAATCATTTGTCTGAAATGATGTAAGTTTTCCTGCTTAAGGAGGGGGTTGGACTAGAAGACCTCCAAGGTCCTTTTCAACTCTGTTCTTCTGTTAGTTGCTGGGCAAAAAGGATAAGTTCAAAAGATGAAGACCTACAGAGACCTACCAAAAGTAGGACCTACAGAGACGAACAGAAACAAAATCACCCAAAGGATTGTCCATAGGAGTGCATTCTAGGAGAAGAATTCTAAAGCCAAGTTCTTTTGGCTGGAGATTACCATGGAACAAAAGAAAATCCCTCTGTGCCAGTATAATTCAACAGCTGGGGGAAGAAACACATGTCCAGCAGGCATCAGTTCTGAACTTGAAAAATGTCATGCATATATGGCCAAGGTTGCTTTCTACTAGTAATAAGCCTTTATAATGTTGTTCCCGCCTCTGTCCTTAGAGTATGAGCTGGAGGTGCTCTAAAACAGGGGTATTTAAGCCATTGCTGGCTGAGAAATTCTGGGACTTGAAGTCTACAAGTCTCAAAGTTGCCAAGGTTGGAGACCCCTGCTCTAAAATGTAGGAAACGACCCAACATAATTTTTACCAAATTAAGACTATCATATCAAGGGGGCACAGCAAGAATAAACAGGAAAACAACTCTTTCCACGGACTATCTTCTAACTCATAAAATTGAATTCTGATTGATTAAGTTGCTTCTGGCATCCTGCCTTTTGTCTGGTGTTGATAAGATTTTGGGGCTTCATCTTATGTGGTGCTTTTCTTGTGTCTGACTGTATTTTTAATCAACAACTATTATGTGTGAGTAGTCTTAGTAACGAATGAACATAACTAGATTTGGATCCTTCAGTCCCATTTATTCATCAACAATAACTTACAGAAAGCAGTAACGGCTTTACAAGAGGGTTTTGACAAATCTGTAAAATGTAAGAGTGATGATGAGTACATTAACTGTTCAGGAGCCTATTTCTTTATAAACCAAAATATGTTTGTGTAGGTGTGTATGTGTGCGAATGCACTGGTATCTCTACTTATGAGCTTTTTTATTCCCTGCATTACACTGATTTTAGCATCCAGTCCAGCAAAATATTCATGTATGTTGGTTCCCTAAGCCATAAATCACCATTTATAAATCACATTGGCTGAATTATCAGAGAACACAAATCTATAAACGAACGGACCTTCTTATAACATGCAGGGATAAGAGCATAAGAATGGTCTTTTCAGATCAAGGCCAAGGCCACTTAGTCCAGCATTTTGCCCCTCACAGTAACCAAACAGATGTTTTCATCCAGTTTACAGAAGAGGGAAGGAGACATATTCCTCTCCTGCTGTTGGTCCACTGCAATTGGCATTTGGACAGCTGCTGGATCCATTCTGAAAGTAACCTTGATGCTCATGAATATCAGCCCATGATAGATCTGTCATCCATGATTTTATCTATTCTCTACCCATTAGTAGTGATCACCTTTTATTGTGGGATAATGAATTCCATAAGCTAAATTATATCCTGTGTGTTGTTTTTCATGTATTCCACTTCTTCCAGTCAGCTTCTCTGGTTGACCTGTGGTCACTAGGTTTGGAGCAACCAAAAAAACCATGACATGCATGATTTCATACCCTTCAATCTTATTCTCTCCTCAGTTCCTTTGGTCCAAACTGAAGAAGGTTTAGGATTGTTTTGTTTTAGGGTAGTAAAGCTCCCTTGGTAATTTTGTTTGTATTCTTCCACCTTTCCTTGCATTGCTATTGTATCCTTTTTCATATATACTGTTCACAATATTTCAGATGCAGACAAACCAAAGATTGGCATAAGAACATTTGAAATTAGTTGGTTGGTAGTTTCACTTCCTCTACTAAATCTTTTGGCAAAACTCTCCAGCTTGTTATCTGCCCACTT